TATTCATGGCTTCAGGTGTAGGCTTGGCTCCCAATTTTGTCCTGCAAATTAATAAAAGAAAAAGAAAGACTTGTCAGTATTGAATAACAAATTAGAAATGCCAACAAGGAACATTTTCACTTATTGTCAGCCACCTTGAAGTCTTGTTGGCAGCATGAGAACATTGTAAGAAAATGAAAACAAAAAATTCTTTTTCTAGCACTGCAAAAAGTTGTATTGGTAATCAAATCAGAAGTGCAGTTACAAGTTTTCAAACAAGAAACAAACAAACAAAGAAACAAACAAACCCTACAACAACAGTTACTGTGCTTGGTTTCAGCCATAGAAACATTCCATATCAGATGTAGCTTTTAGGAGTTCATGAAAAAAGCAAAATCAACCTGACTTGTACAAATCCTTCTTTACTTGCCAGAACAGATATTAGATTGCAATCTTATGCATGTTTACTATGTTTACCCATTTAACTCAGTGGGATTCGTTTCTGAGTAAAGTTTTTTTCTTCTTATTTTTGAATAATTTCTTACACTGATATTCCACTTTTCTTCTATCATGGCACCCATGCAACCCATGGCATGTGGTTCCCAGGCAACCAGCTATACAGGCACTGGCCAGACCAAGACCTGCTTAGCTTCAGCAAACTGGTAGCCTCATGTGTATTCAGATCAAACCTTAGGATGTTTATGTGTGTGCCGTTAGAGCCTTTACAGATTACTATGAAAAGCATTTTTTAAAGATCTACCCTCATACTAAGCCCTATCCAGTGCCAGTTGCATGACACCCCTTTCCTACACAATGAAAGGACTTTTAAAAGGGTTTTGTAATTTATTAACTTTTTTAAAAAAAGAAAAATCCAATGGGATTTAATCAACTCACATGCAAAACTGCAGCCCAAACCTTTTTAAAATTCACAAAAGGTCTAGCAAGCCTACCATAAAGCAGATTTTAAATCAAACATAATGGAGAGAGAGTGATGTCTTCGGTACTATGACTTGTGCAACAAACTTCCTGTTCTATCCTATGAAAATGAATATGCAAATAAGGGATGAATCATACTTTTTCTAGAGACAAAATATTGCAGATTCGAGTGCTGGGAAAATGCTTTATCGTTACAATAGCTGTGTTTCCTTGAATAAAGTTCAAGAAGTGAAAAAATGTGTGCCTTTACGTTGCATTATGAAAGAAAACGACCAGAAATACTCTTATAAATAAGAGTTCTCAAAGTATATAGCAGGGCATTGCTGAAGCTCATCTTCATAAAATCACTGATAGACTACTACAGTGAATTTTGTGAGGATTCCCAGGTTCACTGGGCAGTGAACAGCACCAAGTTATTATAGTTAGCAAAAGGAACTGACTGAATGCCAGACACATAAAACAGGTCTCTATGTAAGGGTGTGTGTGGTGTAGTATTTCAAGGAACAGGAAACATTTGCTTTGGGTTGCTACCAGATTGCTACCAGTCTCTGTGTTATTTCAGAATGAGTCCAGGTGGGGTGGCATAGTTTTCGCTTTATACTTCAGGTCTATGGGGAAATGTCAAAGACCAGCAGCACTGCCGTGCAACAGAGCAGAATGAAATCCAGGATTTTTAACTAGCCTTTAAAGAGAAAAGCGAAGGTGTTTCGTAGAAGCATGATGCACTGTGTGTCATTTTACTTGGCACGACCACTCTGCCAACTGAAGCGGCTGTGTAAAATAAACAGGCAAAAACATGCTCTGCTGCTGACCATTAGTTTTCAGCGACCTGTTACTCGACTGTCCATTAAAAGCGGTGGAAGTGGTACATGTTTGCCTGCAAAAGCATGGCTGCCTGCCAGCAAGGCCCTGGATCCCTCCCTCGCTTTTCCACACCGAGAACGTCGGAAGAGTTCCTGAGGTGGCGGCCCTCCATCCCCTCACCTGCCACCCACACAGGCGACTACTTAAAAACAAGCCCCTGTCAGTCCCTGTGGGTAACGCTCCTCATGGCCCCCGTAGCCACTCATCCCCCCCCCCCCGGTTCAGTGGGGCGCAAGCTGCCCCGTGCCAACCCAGGCAGACACCCCGCCCACTCCTCCCCATAGCAAGTGGGGCCTGGGGAACTTCCCCAGCCTCCCACCCCTCTCCCCCGCACCTCGCGCGGGTTGCCATGGCAACCGCCGCCAGCGCCCGCCTCTCTCGTGCCGAACTGCCTCTTACAATGCGCGCGCGGAGCCTCCCGTACCTGAGAGGAGGGCGTGGGGGGCGCGGGGGCGGGGGAAGGCGAGACGCCGCTTCTTCCGTTGTTCCACGAGGACAGCGGCCTCGGCCTGCTGTCAGCGGGGAAAGCACTCTCGCGGCGCATGCGCCGCGGCGCACCTGTCCGCCGCGAGAGAGAGCGCGAGCGAGCTGCTCAAGCCCCGCCCCTCTCTTCACCTGCTGGCCTTGGCCCTTCGGAGAACTCCCGAGGAGCCCCTCCCGGCTTCGCTCGCTCGCTGCTCTCGATCTCCTCCTCGAGGGCGAAAGTGGGCTCGGCGGGGGCGCCTCAGGGGGGGCCGGGCAAGCGGTTGCTAGGATACGGCGGGTGGCCTTGGAGATGATGATGATGAGGGTGAATTCTTATCCTGTGCGGTTCGCACATTGACACTTCCGAGCTGTTGTGGTGCAGGTCTAGCATATGTCTTCTTAGAAGTGAGCCCCATTCACTTCAGTGGGACATACTCCCAAGTAATTGGATATATAATAGGACTTCATCCTTGGAGCCCTCCCTCTGGGGCGCCCTCTCTCCCACTCCTCGGTTTCTACTTCTAGCCATACCTGTTAGAATAGGATTTTCTTCTCAAATTTTGTCCCTTATTCCGATATTCTGTTTCATGTTATTTATATCCCCCCATCCCACCCTTCAGCACACCATGTTCCCCGGGGAGCTAAAATTTAAAAGCCAAAAAACAACAACCCCACACTAGAGTCAATCAAATAATTAACCCAATTAAAATGAACAGTACATAAAACGACGGAGGCAGAGAAAATAACAGTGGGGAAGGTCACAGGGGTTTAAAAACACTGAGAAAAATAAAAGGTCTTGCAGAAAAGACAGTCTCTCTTCACCCTCTTTCAAAAGATGGGGACACCCAAATGTAGTATCTGCATCACTGGAACTCATATTCCTACGGGCCAGAGAATTGTGGGTGAAACAGCATTTCAGATAGTTTTGCTGGGATGCAAAAAGAAGCTGTGTTTAATTCTGATTGTTTTCCTTCAGCTCACCATGAATTCAAGGGACTTAAGTCTTTTTGTGGTTTTGCCTCTTGCTTCATTGATAGAACTGCAGCAAATGGTGGTGCTTGGGACAAATCTTTTAAAAGCCAGATTTAGGATCAGCTACTAAGAGAACATAGGCCTTTCTATCAAAATGGTTCTTGTAATCCCAGGATAAAAGTTCCTAGAGCCCAAATAACTTGGGGATTTATCCACAAACTAATCACAAGTAGCATTTGTTTTTTGTACCTGTTACTACAACTGGCCAAAAAAAATAAAAATCCTATAAATACCATGTGGCTGTATTACTTATACTGCATAATTATATGACTCTTCTTAGCTTTGCTAAAGAAATCTGTCATCTCCTTTGCAATGGAAATCTTTCCCAGGAAAGATCCCTGCTGGATCCCCAAGTCAAGGTCCATTGACACTGATACTTACTACCATGTTATTTGTTGTCATTATGCTGATGAAAACCACCAAGACAACTGACATTTAAAATGAATTTTCAGAGTCTCTGGTTCTGCTGTCTACAAGTTGGCTTCCCTGTAATGAGAGGTATTCTTTTTCAGAGACGAATTAATTATTTACTGGTAAAGAATTGTACAGGTGGTTTGTCTTTAACTAGCTTTTATTTAGTTTCCAGTTCAATCTACTTGGTATTTAAATAGTCCTTGGTGAAACACATGAAAGTAAAGTGATACACAAATGGACTTCTCTGGAACAGTAGGTAAAAGTAAAGGAATAGTATAAAGTTTCAATGTACCTAGCTTATTTTAATATCTCACTTATGTGGAATTACACTACAGTCACAAGCATATTTACTTGGAGGCAATAACTCCATTAAAACTAATGCTGACTTTTGAATAACTATTGTTAGGACTGGGGTGTAAAGCTACAAGGAATACAATCGGATAATCTTAAAAGATAAACCTTCTACAGTATTCAATTTTGATGCTCTTTGACTAAATATATATTTGCCCCGCTTCAGCAGCGTGGCATCAGATACTCACAGATGTATTTCAAATTTAATTGATGTGGGAACTGAAAGCAGTTCAGATCCATCCAGACACAGAACTATTTAGCTCTTCAGGTGTTATTGTTTGCAAAGCCATATTGTTGTAGCCTGCCAGCAGGTAAGAAGGTAAGCAGAATACTGTATCAGGATTACAAGAGACTTTGGGTTGAGCATAAAACATCTTTAAAAGATATAAAGAAACCACCCAACCCCTTTGTACCTTTGCAGTGTTGCTATGACTGAATGTTTAAAAGCTTTCAATTGAAATCATTCTTCTATACTCCGGAAGCAATCATATATAATGTCCCACTTGGGTTGGGGTGTTTCCCCCCCTTTTTTGGAATATCATCTCCAGAACCACAACATCCCTGTCCAACTTTCTACTGGAAACGATGGGTTTTCCTAACATTAGATGATTTATTGGAACTGAGGCTGCAATACCTGTTAAAACTGCAGTTACAAACACACATATATCCACTGTGTTGCACTTACAATACAGAGGTGCATATTGTACAGCTTATCACACAAATGAAGTGCCACTGTAGAAAACAGCATCTGTGGGGACCTTTGGGCCTCCATATGTTGTTGGACTAAAACTCCCATCATCCCTGGCCACTGACTAAAGGTTCTCCACACCATACAGTCTTCCAATGGAATCAGAATGTGCAATTGAACAGGGGACACAAAGATCATGTTGATATAAGTAACCTCCACAGGATATCTTACCTCTGCTGCCAACTGTCAAATGAACACATGACATCAAACATCCTTGGAAGTTATTTAATGAAATTAAAGGATTCCACTTTTGAATATACAAAGTGTATTACATCTGTACAAATAATTTATAATTAATTTACATAATATACATTCTTAGTTAATACAGATATCTCCATTACAAAATTCAAAGCAATCCATCATGTAACCTTCTGGTTTGTAAACATGTAGCCACAGCACCATACTTAAGAGAACCAATTAAAAAAATGCTTAAGACTGCAAACATTTTTAAATCTTTTCTTGCTTGTTTAAAGTCACTGTCCTTAACAACTCACGGGAGTATCATTGCTACATGTGGTTCCATCAGCTGCTATTTGACCTACATTTTTATTATTTTCCCCTCTAGGAAATTTATCCTTCTTTCCACATTCTAGCATATGTCTACTTTTAGTGCCTTCTCCCCTTGCAATAAACCTTACAGCATTGTTTATCAATTACTTTAAAAGTCTTACATTCAGACATGAAGCAACTGAAGTAGAAACATACTGTTGTTTAGGCAAAGAATCAGGGGCGCTGCTAGAGGTGAACTCACAGAGCATAGACCCCAAATCTTGTCCTATGTGCTCTGAGTTTCTGGGTGGGTAATGAATTCAAGCAAAATTACACTGTGTGTTCTTTTTATTACTTATCCCCACCTACACCAGGGGGCGTCCCAATAATGTAAATCAAAACAATGCAAAGGTCCTGTCTTGTGCTGCACATGACATACTTTGTGTCATTTCAGAAAATAAAATTTTATTTTACCGTTTAGCTTTTATTTTGAATAGAGGTTTAGGACTTCTTAATCTTGCTCAGGGCATGGGAGTAATAAATGAGGGTAAGTGAAGGGGATCTGACATGATTTCTACAAGATCTGTTGAGAGATTAATTGGGGGGTAAATGAAAGGAAGAGGAGCTAATTTGGGGTGATCTGGGGGTGGGGTGCAAATTAACTGAAGAATTTATCTGGATGATTTGGAAGGGAAATGAATTGGCTTGCCTTCTGTGATATTTATATCATAAATCTGTGCTTATACGTATAAATCTGCTATGCAAATTTGTTTCTATGGACCTCTGCCCCACACTTTTAAAGAACCTAGCAACACCCCTGCTGAAAAGTCCAAATGCCTTGCTGTGTAAGATCTAGAAGAGCATGATGTGAAAGAGTAAACTGTAGCAGCAAGCCAAGTTTCATGACACCTTGGAGTACAGCAAGTTTATCAGTTTGTGTCCCCTCCTTTTGCATGTTTTAACACCTGGTTTTTTAGGTCTCCATTTCCATTTTACTATTTATATTGTATTTAGCTGCAATTTTATTGTGAACTGGGGAGGGACCAAATGACAAAATATAAATATTTTCATTAATAAATAAATAAAAATACTGAAGGCAGGAAGTAGCGTTGACCTGACTCTGCCACAATAAGGCCCACTAATCTTCTTGTGCACCTGTACAGCACCACCACAAAGTCCTTCCTCCATGCCACCAGTGCTGGAGGTTTATTACCCATGCATCACTTCATGGCTAAAGCACTCTGCAAGATAGCAGGAGCCCAGTTCTCATGGGAAAATGCTTGACCTCTGCCTGCATAACATTTTGCCTTGCCTATGGTACATATTTTGTGCTATTCCACACAGTCACCACCACATATGTGCCTGTTCAAACGTTTCTAAAGCCACTAATACCCCCCCCCAATTCCTTTGATGGGTAACATGGACACCCTTTATCCCAAGATTCTGCTAACGACAGCAATGAAAATTGCATACAGTTTCATTAAATCCAAATCCCTAAATTCAGAACAGTTGCTTACCTGTCTGTGGTAGTTCTACAGAATAACCATATCTATACCACAGTCCAGCAACACCTGACTAAGCAGAGCTGTGATCACAACTAGGGTTCAAAGGAAAGTATATTTAGCATTAATTACCACCATTTCATTTGTTGTGTCCTGGTGAAATAAAATTATTTTCTCCTTGCCCAATGGAAGATGAATATAAGGAAAGCATGGCACTGAAGTCTGAAACTCTCATACTCTGTTTTGTTTTGTACAAGCCCCCTGCCACAGTTTTATCTGTGACTATTATAGGAGGACACAGCTTCTCTGTACTGGGCTGGGATTCATCTCCAGCTGCAGACCTGAGCTGTTGTTCTGGTCTCCTTGCTTGTTCTCCTTGTTGTTCTCCTTGCTTTTTCCTTTCTTCCGCGAACTGCTTCACAGTAGGAACACAATCACTAGATATTCCCTAATCAGATGCAGTAAAAGATGAAATAGCTGTGGCTATCAGCTTTTTCACTGAACAATGCCTGCAAAAGTGTTGATAGGTAGCAATAAAGATTTAGGTAAGTATTTGGCCAGTCCCACATCTTCCTCTTCCTCAAGGCTAGACCTTCTGGTTCTTGTCTTTTGTAAGCAGTAGCTGGGTTCTAGGCATGGGAAAACTTCAATACTGCAAGAAAACAAAATATGTTGTTCCATTTGCTAAATACGCAAGCTATTGGTCAGAATCTGATCTGGTGTTCACCCAATTCTGATACGAAGTTCTTTTATTGGAAAACCTGTTTGTGGGTATTTGAACCTCAGGCAATGAGGTGCATATAATTTGCAAACCCTTTGCATATATTTTGAATGCACAGCAATAATTGACATTATCATTGACCATCACTGAGGCTGATTAGTCTGAGAAGAATAACATGGGTGGTGTGCAGCTAACACACCCCATCAGCATAATGATTTCTGCTTGCACAAGGGAACTCCCACCTTCCTGCACACCCCCTAAATATATTCTAGGGGCGCCCCCAACCTTCAGGGCACACACAGGAGGTGGTGGTGGGGTCATTCAATTGCACAAGTGTAAATCCTTGCTCTAATGAAATATGTTAGTTGAATATCACCCAGGACCTTTAAGGCGGCTAAAAATGCTATAATAGCTTCGTATGGCAAATTTAGGCTGTGACAAGGAGTGTGGTGTATGTTAAAATGAGAACTCTTCAGTGCTGAATCCTGCAGTCCAGAGAGAAAAGGGTTAGGGGACTTCTGGCCCATGAGGCCATTTTCTCCAAATCTCACTCACTTGTTAGACAGATGACATCACTAGGTGATGTCAGCTGATGGGTGAGCAGTGGGGTTCAATCCTGCTGACTGCTGCTTCACCAATGCTTTCCCTGCACTCATCAGCTGGTGAATGGGAAGTTCAATCCTGCTGGGTGCTACTTTCCCTTAGGGAACATGCTGAGGAAGGAGACCACCACCCTCCAAACAATTTTGACAGTGAGCAAGACTATCACCATACCCATCTATCAGGCACCTAATGTCATCATGGCATCAGATCATCGGCAGGTGGGTGGCCCCGTTCACCTGTCAAAGTTGATGCATGGGGTGCAGGGAAATAAAGCTCTGGTCCTCAGGCCCCAAAGTTTCCCCACTACTGAGATAAAATATCTGCCCCAAACATCTAAATTTTACAGTGATGTATGCCCAAAAACCAACAGAGTTTTAAAATAACGTAAAGGACTAAAGCCTTGATTTGTCACCCAGTAGGTTCCATCTAGCCACCATGAGTTAGTAACAAGATACATGTGGCCCTCAGAGTGATTTAAGTTGCATATCCCAATGTCAGACCATGACAAATAAAGCAGTATAAAACTGCTGAAATCTGAAAGACCAAAGTCCTCCACTGCTTCTGATCCATTTCAGTTTACCTGGAGGCAGTTCTTGAGTTGACAGTGTTTATCAGTAGCACCCACACCATGTTCAAGAACTGACTTTGAGGAATGGGGAAGGGACACCTGGGTGAAAAGTTAATAATATACAGTTTATTGGAGAGCCCGACCTGGTCACATTCTTGTAGAGTCTCCTAGAGTCCTTGTCTAGGCACACAGTGAAGGTCCTTTGTTCTGTGCTTCTGATTTTGATGCTCCGTGTTCGAATAGTGTTTGTCACTAACTGGAACAAAAATGCAACAAAATGCTTTGCTTAACAGGGGGTGGGTGCTTTTTTTAGTCAAGGCCAAATGCAAACAAGTGATGTAATACATGGTGTTACTGGCTTAGCAAGTTTTTTGTTTTCTGTGGCATGAATCTCAAGTTTCTACCTTAGCAACAGAAAACAAAAACCGGCAATAGAATTGTGCAAAGGGTGGGTAAGCACAGAACAAATCCTGCTCTAGAAAGCTGTCTCTCAGGGCACATCCAGACATGATTCAGAATATCTGCGAATAGGATTTCCTGCCTTTAATAGCAATGTCAGCCTCAAGGGGAACAGACTGGGCTGGGGCCGTGGCACTAGGGAAGGATGGGTTAACCCTTATCCCTGTGCTCTTTCCCACCACTCTCTCAAAGCTCCTATTTGCTACTTGGTGGAAAAAAACATGCAGTTGTATCCAATGAAGTCATCCCATTAGCGCAAGGAGCTCTGGCTGCACAGTGGGTCTTACTTTCCCTTTTCTCTCCTTGCGCCCCCTGCATCCCACCCAGATCTGTTCTGGAGGTTACCCCAACATTCCAGAGCAGAATTTTGGGCAGGGGGCACAGGGAGAGGAAGTTCAATTGCACAAGTCCTTGCACAACAAGACAACTTTGTTAGATACAACCTATAAGTCTTCTGAAGTCCTCAGGTTGCATTACTGATATCAGTCCTTCTACAAGTTTAGCAAAGCATTTTTTTACAAAACATTAATTACCACGTTCAACAAACCAAAATGCAATGACATTTATTTTCCGTGTCGGGTTCCACAAAGCAATTCGCTACACAAGCTCTGTACTGTGACAGATTATTTTGGTAAAATCTGTTTATAATCATGACTGTTGGGCATTTTACTGTTGCTCTTAGGTTCACCAATGAAAAAGGTAATTATGTATTGCCAATAAACATTTAGAAACCTGCAAAGTGAGTGGTTACAAGATAGTGGCTTGGTTCTGACATTGACAAGAGTGGAAACTTAAATATTCACTGCTGGTGTAATCAGCCTATTTGATAAATTATGCAATGGAGAAATCATTGATAATTCATTTCTCACTTCAGATACTGATACTAATTGCAGTGGAAATGCTGTTCCAACTGTGCATATAAGTTTGTTTTATTCAAAAATCTTCAGCTCAGTAGGAATTATTGATGGTGAAATGGGGGGGAAATCTGAAGTGAAAAGCAAGTGTATGTGATGTATAAGCCTGAAATGGAACCCCTTTTTCCTTTCTTTCACAGGTGCAGGAGAATACTTCTTCCAGCATAAAATTAATCTTTGAGGAATAAATGTAATTTAGAATCTAACATTTTGGATTACAAACCTAGTGGCTTATATATCCTTCTGGAAAGGCAGTGGATATTTCTTTGTCATTTCAATTTTAGCCATGTGAAATTGTAAATAGCTACATATTGGAAGAATAGTGCCATGATGAAAAGAGGAAGAAAATACCTGTGCAACAGCATCACACCAAGGCTGACTATGCAATTGAAATTATGAAATGCTTGTCGAGCTGTTTGTCCTGTGGCAAAGCCACTTTGTGTTGCACATATCCTGCGATCTGAGATGTAGGTCAGCATCAGGCAGTCAGTTTACTAAGGGACTCATCAAAGAAGCTTAACAGTTTCCATTCCAAGTGCACACATACCCCGGCAAACCTGATTGCTTTCTAACCCAAAGGACTCATGTAACATTCTTTTCTGGGAAAGGAGGATTTGCATTCCTCATTGGGAAAGCACAAGGTTCAATAACCTAAGTAAACAGTTTGAAGGGATCCTGATTCAAGTATCAGAGTGGCTTCAGCACCTGACATAGTGACATAGAACTGCTATGTGTGAAAGTTTCCGTCCCAAAGAAACATACACAGGATCTTTTTGGTTGGAATTTGAGATTTTAGCAAGATGTAGATAGTAAAGAAGCCCATGGAGACTCAGCAGACAAGGTCAACAGAAGAATGAGGAAAGGAGGTTGTAATTTTTAGGTTCAGCTAGGATGATTATTCATTAATGGGTCTAGGGTTGCTGATTTTTGCTTCAGAAAAAATTTGGAGCAAACTTAACTTATATACTAGGTGGATTCATAAAGTTCCATTGAGGGTGACATTTTTTATGACTCTCTCCTACTTTGTATTGTAGAATAGGTGGAAAATCCTACATTTCCCCCCTGTAGATACTAAGCAGCACCACTAGGTCCCTAATTCTGAAGAATCAGAGTGTCACTTACAGAATATGATCGTCCTGAGAGGTTGGATATTTTCACGACCTCAGTAGTATTCACATTCAAGCACACCAGATCTGCAGAGTACAATGAAGAAAGATGGATGAATCAGTCATGACTTTCCCCCTTCTTTTTGCCTCGACTGAAGCATTGCATGATCCCCTGCCATGTTTAGCACTGGCCCAAATTTCCTCCATGTCTAACATTGTTCTATGCAGCAGTAGAAGAGCGCTCTAGAACACAGTCAGAACACTGTTTCTCCTACCCTGAGAAACAGCATGGTGAAGTTCCCTCAGACTTTATAGCTCCTCCTTGTCTTCCCTTCCAAGGACCTTTTAAGGTATAGGGGGGGGGCTGGGGAGGGGGGGCTACACAATGAACATACAGCTACAATGAACATACTCTGTTTTTGTGGAACAGGCATAGGCAAACTTGGCCCTCCAGATGTTTTGGGACTACAACTCCCATCATCCCTAGCTAACAGAACCAGTGGTCAGGGATGATGGGAATTGTTGTCTCAAAACATCTGGAGGGCCGAGTTTACCTATGCCTGTTGTGGAAGATCCAAGTGTTTCTTAAATAAGGACTTTGAAGGATATATTGAAGGGATACAAACATTTTCCCGAGGTTCAAAATTGCTGTGGGAAATGTGTGTATTTGTTCCCCAGCTTAGCTCCTCCTTTGCTGCATGGAAGTTGATTGTATGAGTTCCATTGGCACCTGTTGGGTGGTGCATGTAGCATCACAGATGATAACCAACACAAGTCCCACCATTCATTTATCATTTCTTTTTTAAAACCGTAATTTAGCAGCTGATTGCTCCCTCACAGGAGCAGGGTGTCTACAAAACAGACAGGTGTCACATGATTCTGGAAACCTCACTAATTGTTTGTCCTACATAACATTTTGAGGACTGAGCCTGGGGTGGGGGGAACAAGCTTCATCAAATTTGAAGCAGAAGGAGTTGTGCAGAGCACTGACTGATAGGGTATCTGCAACATCTTAAGGCACTCATGTCACAGAACATTTTTTAGCATAAGAAAACAACTGTTGGGTTCTTGGGGGGGGGGAGGGCAGGCACCATGTGATTGCTTAAATGTGTCTCTCCCAAACCAATTTGCTGGCATTCTGTGGGTCCTGTTTGTTTCTCTTATTTGATTACTAGCAGCCTCATACCTAGTGTTGCTAAGGAATTCTAAGAAACCAAAATATCAGTAGAGTTTTGAAAGTTTCAGTCCACCATCTTGGTGCAAAATGGTATCCAACTGTATCAAAACATAGACAAAAACCTGCTGTTTGATCTCAGGATCCATCATGCATACTTTGGTTACAATATTGTAAGAAGAGTCCAAATGCATAGTGAACAAACAGCTTTCTAAAATATACAATTAGATTAACTCTGAGCTGTCCCTCTCTTCAGAAATGAAGTGGACATCTTAACCTCTCCCCATTTTTTTGTGACAGCAGCAAGTTTGCAAAAAGAATGTATACCTACCATGAAGCAAGTTTAGTCTGCTCCTTCACTTTGGAAGAAGAGTGCGTGTCATCTGCAGAACTCCAGCTCTCGCCCAGGAATCCAGCTAGGAATCCAGAAAAGTGGAAGCCCAGAAAACCAGTGTGTGCTTTCCCCACCTATACAATGCCTTTACCTTCAGTCTCATTTGAGGGAATGGCTTTAATAACCAGGCCTGTGGATCGCAGTGAAAGTGTCTCCTCCTTCTCACGGTTGCTCAACAAAACCTAGACAGAAATCACCATTGTTTCCCAGTGAAAAAAATGCATAAATCCTTATTGGAAACAATGGGTTATTATTTCAACCATACAGTATAACCATTGCTGTTTCTATATTTTGCAACAGTGCTCTTTTTTTCCTTTTTACTGTAGTAGACCATTGTTCTATGCTTTTCATGTGTCAGGCAATCAGCACAGAGAACAGTGGAGAACTCCCCCCATCCATCCAGCAACTAAGAAGCCTATCATTCTGGGTAAGCATGAAATATGCAGGAAGAAAAGCCAGGGCAGGTTAATTCTCTCTCTAGAAGTCTATCCATATTTTCTGTACCATCAATGAAAACAAATTACAGGTTCTGCCAGCATTCATAGCCTCAGTTATAATTAATGTGGGTGAAATACTTTGCCTAGGATGCCATGATGATTGCTAGGACTCTTTACCTGTCCCTTCTTGCAGACTATTTATAAATGTTCTCACCTTCTTATACATGAGTGTAAGATCTGCACCAGGAACTTCTACTGCTAGCTTCTTTTTCGTTGGTAGAGTGTCTGCAAAAGAAACAGCCACAGATTTCAATTAGCTGGGATACTGACACAGCTATCTTCCCATTTAAGTTTACAGGGGGAGGGGAGAGGATGAATATTGAGGCATACTTTCCCTTATAAGGACCTATAAGTACAGCTGGAGTGGGAATAGTATGTGAATAAAAGTGACAGGAAAATTAAGAGCCAATGAGTTCTGCAACTCGTGGCATCACAGAAGAACACACAACTTGGTGTTTTCCCCCAATGACCAGTTACCCTTCTGCCTCCTTTCTTAACTTTTTATTTTCTTGAGACACAGCCTGGCTGAAGACCAGCGAATGCTTCCCCAGCTGGAGAGATCTGAAAGGAGCTCTGCAATATCTAGGGAGCCCTGACATGAGATACAGACCTCTGGAAGGGTTGAATTCTTCAAGCATTAGACTCAGTTCAATCAAGAAAATGTCCTCAACAGGCTCCAAATCTGTATTACTGAAGAAAAGCTGAAAGGCAGAAAGAGGCTCTCAAAGCATGGTTCCTTCCAAGTGGGTGAACTGTTACAAGTGTCATGAATATAATTTTTGTGCAGCCTGGTGGTAAATTTCACAATGCTCAAAGAACAGGAAGAGAGCACTGACCTTCACTGCATACACCTGGAAGAAGACTGGCTGCAAGCCCAGACGCACATAGTACGCAATCACGTCAAGGATGAACAGCTCAGAGACTGTAGATTTGCTTGGAGAAGAGGGCTGTGTGGGATCAAAGACGACTGCATCAGTCCAAACCAACTGCCAAGTTACCTGCTATTTCTCTTAGCTTCCTGATCATTCCTGATATTTCACCTGCTTGGTGAATTAGGCAGCCAAGGGATGATACACACAACTCACGTTGTATCTACAACACTAGAGCCAAGAAAGTGAAATACTAAAAATAAATTTTAAAAATTGGCCATTCTATTCTACCTCTATTATAAGTTGGAGAGGAAGAACTAGCCTTTCACCGGCCAGCATGCTAAATGGATGTAAGTCTAGATCAGGGGTTGCCCACACGGTGTTCTCCAACTGTTGGACTATAATGCATATATTTCCTGATGATTCACCATGCTGGCTGAGCCTGATGGGAGCCTCAGGTTTACCCATGGTCTAGGTATACGTAAGATCTGGAAGTACTTGGCCCTTGTTTCTGACTGAGCACCAACCTCAGTGACAGTTCCTTCTGCCATCTGAAGAACATTCCAAAAATCCCCATTGTTGTTTCTAAGGCAGAAGTGGGGAACTTGTGGGCCTGCAAATGTTGCTGGACTACAACTCCCACAGTCCCTGACGATTTGCTCCTGCTGGCTGGGGCTGATGGGAGTTGGAGTCCTTGGGTTCCTACCCCTGTTCTAAGGAATACAAGCAGAAGGAAGGGCTCCTCTCCTACCATGGTGGCCAGCTTCGGAATCATGTGACAGAGGGTGTTAATGTTGCTCTCGTACCATGGATCAGCTCTTCCAAGGTAAGCAGCCAACTCACAAGGCTCTGTCTGGTCAGGCAGAGCACCTTCCTGGAAGAGAAGAAGTAGAGTAAGCTCACCAGTACAAAGAGCATAGGACCATGGCAGGAAGGGGATGACCACAATTGAGCTCTGCCGTCCTCTGCATGGCCCTGAGCTGCTCACCTCGGTGGGGGAAGATGTGGGTTGTTCCTCCACAACAGGCACATAGTAAAATTGCACTTTTAGCCTTGGTGTAAGAAAGGCACGTCTGCTCTCCCGCTTCCTGGAAATGAGGAAGGGGAAATTGTTCTTAGGTCATCCCAGTATCTCATCTCTTGTGGTGGAGAGGACACAGGTGGACCTGTGCACATAGTATTTTGATAGCCACAAATAATGGTATTAGGGGGAGGAATCCATGTCATTCTCTAGCCAGGAAAAATACAGTTGCCACTATTTCCCATGGAACTCCTTGGTATGTTCCTCCCTCTCCCCCCCCCCCGCTGTCCCTAGCCTAGCATAAAACTTCCCATTAAGTCATGCTGAGCACCCTAAAGAGACCTGCCTGTGCCCTTGCCATTTTCGTACTAACACCTTGTTCTAATCATGACCATGCTTTCACACCAGCAGTGCCTAGAACAGGGTGGTCCAACACATGGCCCCAGGGCATAATGTGGCCCTCAATACCTTTCTGGAAGCCCTTGGCAATATTTGACACCCCCGCAGGCCCAGCCCTTGCACCACCCTTCCCCCAGGCTCCTCCCCAAAGCCTAGTTAGTGCTTGGGAAGGAGGTGCGAGAGCTCTAGGACCCTGCCAGAGCCTCATGCCTCTTTCCCAAAGCCTGGTGCCTCACTTTGGGAAGGCAGTGTGAGGGCTGGGGGGAGGGCAGCATCAAATTTTGGGCTTGCTTCCTACACACACACACACACACACACACACACACGACAAGGCAGTGTCACACCCTCCAAGTGTCCTTATTTTCCAGGGACAGTCCAGGTTTTACAGAAAGCACCCCTGGTTTTACAGAAGCTGCCCCAGTTTCTGGTTTGATCTTGGGATGTCCGGTGCTTCCTTAGGATGTCCCTATTTTAATCAGATTTATCCGACCCCTGAGCCATCTGAAGGCAGCCTTGTATAGGGAAGTTTTCTTAATATTTAATGTTTTGTTGTGTGTGTGTGTGTGTGTGTGTGTGTGTGTGTGTGTATACACACACAATATATATATTGGAAGCCACCCAGGGTGGCTGGGGAAACCCAGTCAGATGGGTGGGGTATAAATTATTATTATTATGGAATAGGATGTCCCTATTTTCTTCAGAGAAATGTTGGAGGGTATGGGCAGTGCGTGGCCCATGGGTTCCATGTCAAAGTATTATTGTGGCCCACTTGGTGTGAGAAGTTGGACCTCCCTGGCCTAGAAGGAGATACTGCAACTCCACCACACAGAAACGGGAACTCTCTCCCAAACACAGCAAAACTCTCCCTCTTCTCGAAGTCATCATGACAGTCACTTACCTCAGGGAGTAATAGGCCTGGGCTAGGCGCCCCAGAATTCTGTCATCACCCAGTACCAAGACACGAGCTGTGTGCAGCCGTTTCAGCTGAGCCACCGGCTCCATGACGCTACCCCCAGATTTCCGATGCAGCTTCCCAGCAGGCTTTGCTCCTTGCCCATTAGAGCCGCTCTGTAGGAAAGCGAGGCTGTCCAGAGGAGACCCCTTCTTCTTCATGCAACCTTTCCTCTGGAGCCGAGTGTGCTCAGCCTCAGCAGTGCAAGAAGACTGATTTTCATCGCCCAGATTGGGCAGGTCTCGCTCAATCCCGCTGTCGTTGGAGAGCACAGAGAAACGTGTCTGCTCACAGCAGTCAAAGTCTGGCCCCATATCCTGAAACTCAAAGATATCCAGTTCTGGACTCAGGGAATCCTGTTCACAGGATTGACTTGGCGAACGGAGGAATAGCACCAACTCCTTCCCTAAAATGAAGAGATGGTTTGTGAAATACCTAGAAGGCCATCATAATCCTTGAATCTTCACATGGCACAGTGTGGCATTGTCCCAACACTACAAAAGTAAAGTTTCTTGCCCACATTCATAGGCCAGACTACTTCAGTCTATGTGCACATACACAACATGTTTTAATATAATGTAGGCTGCCTCCTGACACGAAAACACTATTTTATTGGTTCCCATCCTTTCCCCTGAGATGGTTAGAGCCAATCAAAATGTTCAGGAGAAAAAACATGTTACCTCCCTCCTGGGATACTACAACTTCAGAATACAGGTGAGTAGTTCCCCCATACTGAAAATAAGAGCTCTTATATTTATCTTATCTATCTTTATTTTAAAGAAAGTAGGCATGGCAAGGATAAGCACATGTTATGATCAGTACACTTAGAGGCATGCTTAAACTGGTCAGTTTTATTTTGAAAGAAAGGGGGGAAATCATAGGGTCGCCCAATGTAGAATATGCTTCTAATCTGGATCAGGGCCTTGTGCAGGTTTTCTTCTGAGAAACAGCCCCTCCTCGCTGCCATTGGCCCCCAAAAGAACTGTCTGCAGTAAACTACACCTCAGAGGATAAATGGTAGCCAAAAGGAAACCAGAAGGGGCCAAAGACACGTTGTTTGCAGTGACCACAGGGACACTGCATCCCGGGAGTGACTCCGCCCTGCTTGCCCTCTCACAGAGTGAAAAAGGATAACAACAGCTGCTTCCAAGTGAGATACAGGCCATGAGAACAGACACTCACAAAGCTGGTCTTCATCTCTCCACAAGTGGAAGCTGATGTTAGGGTTGGGTAAAGGGATCCCTGAACTTCTTTCTACTCCTGTCTTCTCCACATCTGTAGGACACAGAGAATTTTTTTGTTAATCTTTCAATTTCAAGGAGTACAATGAAGGCCAGACGGGTAAAAGCAGAGACTAGGAGGTCGAGGGAAACATACGGTAAAGGGAAAGTGGAAGTCCATGGGCTTTTTTAAAAAACAAAACAAAACTGTGGCTCATTTGCCCTGCATTAGCCTGATGAAGAGCCTTCTTATAATTAAGCTAATGTAGAAAAATGTGAAGCAGCTAGCCAGAGGCTGATACATGGCAAAATAGCAGTTTCTTCAGGGCAATGAACAGCACCAATTCCAGATAGTCAGAAAAAGCCATGTGATTGCTAGAAATAAACATTTATCCATTATATTTCATGTTGTGGGGGAAAGGTGTAAGTTTTATTTAGTGTAGTTGCCTGCTGGGTGATAACTAACAGTTAAAAGTGTCAAATGACATCAATGTAGGTGAACAATGATGTTTCACATGCAATGTGTAACGGATAGAGTGTCGGACTAGGAGTTGAGAAACCAGGGTTTCAAACCCCTCTTCAGCCATGAAGCTCACTGGGTGACCTTGGGTCAGTCACTCTCTCTTACCTTGACCTACCTCACAGGGTTGTTGGGAGGAAAAATGGGGAGGGGAGAACAATGTACCACCTTGAGCTCCTTGGAGGAAAGGTGGCATAGACATGCAATAATAAATAAATAAAGCATTGTGTCAGAAGCTTATGATATCCCTCTTCGTTGATTTGGGGTGACCAGTAATATCACCTCTTACCATTGAGCAGACCCCCAAATTATACTTGGCACTTTTGCCCATTTAGCCTTCTTGTCTCTGACCAGTACAGGGTCACACTTACTGAACAGACACACAAATTTCCTTCTCCTCAGAAATCACTTTGAAGTTGGTCTTTTTTGAGTACCGAGGACTGCATGCAAATATCTATACAAGGGGGTGATCCTGAACAAAGCACAGAGCTACAAGACACAATCCCCTTTGAATGCATAAATCAGTTTCTGTCCTTTCAGCACCTAAATCAATTATTTTGCCTTTCACACTGTTGTGGGTGCTGTGGGAAGTGCCCACAAAAGCAACTACAATCAAGGCTCAGGGCTCAGTCCCAGATGAAGCACAGGGACTGGGGTCCTTTTTCACATCCCAGCCTCGTAGAGCCACACTTACCTTTCTCTGTAGTGCTCATCAATGTGCTGTAGATTTTCCCCAATTCTTCAACATATTGATTGTATTCTGCACTCATATCTCTTCCTGCATGTTCAATGGCTGCCATCACTTGCTGAAAATAGTGCTCAGTCACATCTAAGGGCTTTGCCTGTCACAGGGGGAAGGAGTAATGAATCATTGCTGGAATTGGTGTTTCTTTTTCAAGGGGTACTCAAGGGTATGCAGTACCAACACCTCTTTTTGTTGTTGTTAAAAAGTTGGACACTTACTGTAACAACTTCATGGTGAGTACTGGCACCTATTTTACTAGGGGGGGGGGGGGAGTCCTGGCTGGAATGAAGTTCACAGACTGCAAACTCCTATTCAAGCTTTTTTTCTTTATAGCAAATTACGCTACGCATGTATGGTACTCACAATACTCAGCTCTCCCTAACTCAAAAACAATTTTGTCATTGACATGTATGAGCACATGGGGAAATGGGTAGATATGCGGCACCTGACAGTACAGCTAGCAGGTTTCTTAAAAGTATTCTTAAAACTTTGTTTGCTTCTAATATTTCTTATTAAAACTTGACCTTTTAAGACTTTGGGAGTAATTTCCTTCCCTCTGTTTCCTAAGCTTCCCTTCTCCCCCATCTGTACTCCAACAAATCTTGTTATAATGCCAACAGACAATTCAATTTGGGATAAGTGTTTTATTTCTGGCTCAAGGAAGGCAATAAGCGCCAAAGGCAAGAGAACTGACTTTCATAGAACAATCCCTCTATGTGTCTACTTGGACATAAGTCCCAATGAGTTCAATGGGGCTTTCTCCAACGTAAATGGATGGACTGCAGCCTCTAAGGACTTTCTCATTGGCACAAAGTCCCAGTCAAGGAGCAAAAGATAGTCAAACAGCTTCAAATAAATGTTGGAGAGGATGTCAAGGAACTGGTACATCTGCCTGCCTGTGGTGGTCATATCCTCTAGTGGAGGAAAATTTGGGGAAATATCTTAAACAAGATTAATAACATAACTAAAACAAAATACCCTTAAGTCTCCAAGTACTTGAAATACTGTTTTCCAAAGGACAGATAGTCTACAAAACATGAGAAAATGTTTTCACATTCCTCAGCAGCAGCAAGAGCAATAATTACAATCAGTGAAAATGTTTGGTGTATCTGTCAAGTTTGGTGTATTTGTCAAGGCTAGGGTTCAAATTCAGAGGCTTTGGGAACACTTATTAATGGACAAAGTCACCAAGAACGTGGCAAGTTGCTAAAGGGGATGCAGAGCCTGAAACATTCATTAAAAACTTGCAACATTCTATACAATTTGGAACCTATTTTTTAGATACGTTTCCATGAGTTCAATTGGCCACACTCCCAGGTAACTTTAGAAATTCTAGAGATGGCTGTCTTGGTGGTGGTGGAACTAATCAGGTCTGTGGCTCAGCATTAACAAAGTCTCTGTCTGGATGTATAGCTTTGCAAGAAGACTAGCAAAACCCCATGAATCAGCCACTTACCATAAGATTCATTTGCTTTCTTTCCATCAGTTAATGTACCCTTTTACACAGTGGGGGAAAGGTGATCCGTTTGTTTTTTTTGTGTCTATATATGCCAGAGTGTACTGGACGGAGTGGTGTTCTTAAGCCCACAAGTTGTTTTGTTTAAATCTCTACCTTCTGCAGTTTTCATCTGAAGCAACACTGAGTAACTTTTGCTCACACATCCATCCCCAGTATGAGAATAATAGTCTATGGAGTAACTGTATAATGGCAGCCCTCCAGATGGGAGGCAAGTGACTGGGAATGTCTGGTATTTCTGCTTATGGAATTTCATTTATTTCAATGAAATCTTTACAGTACCTGAAGAATGCTGTGCACATTCTTAACGTGGCCGTGTTCCTTCAGCACTGTTTGGAAGGCACGTTCTATCACACAGAGCATGCAGGACTTCATACACTGGGACATCTGAGCAGCCTTGATCTCATCAATGAGTGCCCGGCATACAGCTTCAGACAGCAGTTCTGGATCTACAAACATGAAAACCCTGGGGAATGAAGAGTTAACATATATAGAGACAGCCACACATTAGTGCAGTTTGTGTGTGTGTGTGTGTGTGTGTGTGAGAGAGAGAGAGAGAGAGAGAGAGGGAGGGAGGGAGAGATAAAGAGAGAGATAAATATGTCACTTTAAGACAGGTGAGAGGCCCTATACTTACTTTTCCTGATAGGGGAATGAGTCGTTCTTGAGACTTTGCTCTGCAGAAACCATTCTTTGGTATAATGCGCCTAATGAATAAAATAAGCATCTAAATATCAGTCAAAGTTTAAAGGTCAATGGTTTGGTTCTGGTATAACTAAGCACACCATTGATAATGATGTCATAACATTGGTTTAAAATGGAATCAAGTCCAAAGTGAGACTACAAACTGCATGAATAGGCGGGGAAAGAAATCTTCAAGGAAGTCCCAAGTGAAAGGTGGAAAGGCAAATGCTTCTTTTCCCTCTGTCTGCAGTTTCCAGAGTTTTTACATGCAATGAATAGATAATTTGCAATAGTCCACATATAATATAATATAATTTCCTGCATGGAAGTGTTACAAAAGTAACTGGAAATTCGGAACATTTGAAGTGGCTTTTTGCTATGGGCTCCTGGCTACGAAAAAGCTTTGGAGCATTCTACTTCATGAAGCTTCTTTGGTACAATAACCTGAGAAAGTCAGGTAAATCAAATACATGAGATGCCACATCTCATAACTTGAACTTGGTACGATAAGCGAGCTGTAGTCATCCATTATTGAGCAATTAAAGTTGTTCATTAATGAGTTGGTTGCAGTATCTGAACGTAAGCCTTTGCACAAAGAACCATGCAAGGGCGTTTTTACACATCCTTCAAGCAATGTGTGTTAAAAGAAATGCAGGTTGCCTTTCAGAAAGAACAACTGTTTTGGTAGCACACTAACAGGGGAATCTAAGCAATGTTTCTGGCCTGGTGTTGGCTTATCAACGTCAAGGAAAGGGTGAACCATGATAAGAGCATCCCACTTTGATTGGTTTCCTGCTGAAATGAAGCAGCAGCAGAACCCAACTGACAGACGATGAACACATCTTGCCTCCCAATTATGAGTGCTTTTCTTCTGCTTGACCAATCCCCCCCCCCACTTCTCCAATGATCCTCAGGTCCAAGAAACAAACCAAAAGAAAGCAAAAAGAGTGTGGAATATTGCACACCTGGTATTGTCCGTTCCAGTTTCAGCTGCCGAGCATAATCCAGGCCAATGGTGCAGTACGGTTTGGGCAGAGTGAGTAACTTCTTGCAGAAATCATACACTCTCTCATACAAATCATCAGGGATGCAAGGTGCCTAGAGCAGCAACGGGAGAACAAACTTCGGTGTAGAAATTATTTAAATATGAGAAGAACCCTGCAGCATTGGCTGACAATCACCAGCCCAATTCACCCCTGGTATCAGTGGAGTAATTCCCCTTGGAATCAGGCCTATTCGCATCTGCTGTTTGGTGGAATCTGGATTGAGCACTCCAACTATACTGAGAAGATGGTTCATCACGATCCATATGTTTCCTTTTGCAGAGTAGCTGTACAAGGATAAATGCTTCTGTTACTTTATTTGCTTTATTTGGTGACCTCAGGGAATCTTGAATGATTACAAGGAGGCGGGGGGGGGGGAGAGAAAGCAGTGTCTGAGTCTAAGATAACCATATGTTTCCCTGTTGTTTTACTCTCCAGGGTATGAAAATGCAGCTATCCTGAGATGCCCACAGCTACTAAACATTTCTTCAAATAAAAATGTCTTTCACTGTCGCTACTTCCTTATTACAGACCTCAGACTTCCATTTTCAATAAAACTGTGGGTGTTTTCCACTCCAGAATTTTCACTATGCTGCATTTTATGCTGCTATTTCACCATCTTTCCACAGGGAGCAAATGTAATTCTCCCAAGGTGTCTGCAAGCAAGGACAGCATCACTGCTAATGTATGTGCTTCACAAGAGATTAATACATGAATTATGCATCTTTTATGCATGCAGACAGCATATGGTAAAGTTGGAGAACCTCTGGTTATAAACAGACCATTAATCACCTGCATTCCACCACAGAGATGTTCCTGAGTCGCATTTCCCCCCTCTTACCATTGATTTTAATGAGTCAGTTCTTTTTAAACTATGAATGGAGCAGCACAAGAAAACGTGGCCAGCCATAAATGCATTTCACACTGTTGTCTGACACTCTGACAATATTCAGTGCTTACCCATTCCTACAGGGGAGAGGTGCTAGGGCTCAAATCTAACTAGAAGTCAGACCATTTTAGCTTAAACACAATGCTCCTAAGGCCCAGAATTATCAAAGTGGCCGTGTCTTCCCAGCAGGGAGGAAAAAACACGCTGCACATGCTTAGAGGCGCCCTCTCTTGCACATTTCACACATTCCTAAAATTCAAAATAGAATCTCGAGTGGTATCCATGGAAACCTAAGAGCCGTTGGCCATAGTGCAGGCTAACACCTCACATCAACTCCCAGGATGGAATTCCTGCGCTATCACAGCCGCATGAATTTATAGTTCTCACCTTTATCAATGTGTACATCAGGGTGTGAAGCAAAGGGATGATGTACTGCCGATAGTTGCATCTTTCTGCCTAGAGAAAGCAAACGGTTACGCTGAAGATTTTCCAACAATGTGAGGCTGATTTTGGATCCTCTGCTGTCACAAAACCACATGAGGGAGGAGGGCTGGCAGCTAGAACAACAGAGCACTTGATAGCAGAGACAACTCTAGGTGGAACATTGCCATGGTACCAGCCAGACCTCAGCTGGACTGTGCGTTCAGTTAAAGACTTACCCTTGACATGCTTAGGAGAGATTTGAGGGGGAGAGAGGCAGGGGGAAGATCTATGAATATAAAGCCTAGGAGGAAAGCTTGAAGCAGCTGTGACATCTTTGGTCACATGCATTGTGCGGGTTTTTGGAACACTACAAAATCCTGCAACATCTGCCTAGGGGAAAAAATAGTGGAATGAGCATACACATCATGGACCTCCCAATGCTCTGTAAGTATACTATCTCCAGCCAAAGATCAGTTTTTCTGCAGGAAGAATGGCTTCTGATGAGAGAATAAGAAGGACCAGAAGTGGCAGGAAGGTGCAGGATAAACAATAAGGAAGACCGGAGCAGCTGGTTCCCTACAAACACTACAGAGATTGTGAGTGATGTCAGAAGCAGGCTGCATTGGCTACCCTGAATTTATGTCTGAGCGAATGAGCCTTGATAGAGCATCTGATGTTTGGAAGTGTCTTCAATTTGAAGAGCAGTATATTAATTTAATCATATTTTTTTCCACAGCAATAAACCATAGATTCATATTCATGAGAAAGACTACATGTGGACTGTGGAGACAAGTCCCAGCCCTTTGTTTCCTTCTGTGGACATTCTTACCCTTTCCAGTTCTTTCACCAGAATTTTGATCAAGAGGGCTCCATTACTGGGATTCCTGTCAATCTTCTTGTGCAAAGTCCATCTCAGCATCCCTGGAAGAAGGTGGGAGGAGAACCAAAGTTAAAACAGCTGGCAGAGTTTCACTGGCTCAGGAATCAGCAAGAGACAAGAGCAGAATATTGCAAAGAAGTAAAGTAAGTTGCACTTATGGAAGAAGAGGAGTGGACAGGACTGAACCATAAACAAAAACAGCTCTTCCCTCAAGGGTTCCACATATTATTTTATTTAATTATTTATTAGGTCATCATTTGATTTCTTACTTGCCCTAAGGTCCCAGGGCAGGTCACAGCACTTTAAAAATACATTAAAATCAATTTAAAATTAATTACAGTCACAATAACAGGGTGAGTCTCTATCTGTGTATTATTATTATTAATTATTATTATTATTATTATTATTATTATTATTATTATTATATCATCACCATCATCATCATCATACCCTGCCCATTTAACTGGGTTGCCCCAGCCATTCTGGACAGCTTCCACAAGATATAAGAACTATCCCTGAGAGATCACCTGTGCAAAATCTTTCAATGTGATCAAGCACAATTATCAGGGCAAGTGTACATTTTGCTACTTGAGACAAATGACAAGATGCTCCCCTGCTCATTCCATGTACAGAAGCCAGCTAGACTGGCAGATGAAGATTCTGTCAGCTCTGACAAAGGGTTAGTGTCCTTCCCTAGACTGCAGAAGCACGTTAGTTTAGAGCCCCAGCAAAGCTGTGTGGCATACACATCTGCTCAGGAGCTACAGCCAATGGCTGTCACTGCTGCCCGTCACCATCTGCCACTTGAGATGGTCACCTCACTGCACCTAATATTAGGAACTGGCCTTTACAATCAACCAAGTTAGCTTCTACAGTGTAACATTGGTGTGTGTATTTTTCAAGCCTTCTCTACTGATGCATATTATTTCCACCTTATTTCTCCGAGATGTCTCAAAGAAGCAGCGATAAACCATGGTTAGAGAATCTAAAGCAAAACACTGGTGTTGCCTACATTTAACTGCAACTCTTCAAGCTAACCAAGACAGCATTTCTAACACCACTGGCAGGCCATGGCAAAAAGATGATCCAATTGTAACAGGTGTCAGTATCATACAGAGAGAAAACAGCAAAGATGAGATGGACAATGACTGAGAGATAACAGCCCCTCCAAATGTCCCTATTTTCCAGGGATGTCCTTGATTTAGAGTAGATGTCCCAGTTTCTGATTTGATCCTGGAATGTCCCACTTTTCCTTAGGATGTCCCTATTTTCATTGGAGAAACTTTGGGCGGGGTATGGAGTTATCTGACCCCCAAGCCATCTGAAGGCAATCCTATATAGGGAAGGCTTTTTAAAAAATGTTTAATGTTTTATTGTGTTTTTATATATGTTGGAAGCTGCCCAGAGTGGCTGGGCAACCCAGTAAGATGTGGGAGGTATAAATAATAAAATTATCATTACGGAATGGGATGTCCCTATTTTCATCGGGGAAATGTTGCTGGGTATGAGATAACTGTGACTCAATGATTCCATCTGATAGCTGGGCCACAATAAAGGCAGCCAGAATATTTATCTTTCTAGTCCAGTTGGCAGCTCTCTTCTCTCTTGGGCAAAGATCTTTCCATTGTTTGGCTGTCTGAGTTCTTTTAGCAGAGACACTACTAACTCAATACGGTGCCTTTGTACTTGGGAAACATATTCTTTATCACCAAGCTATGGTTCCTTCTCTCTGCAATTGTTGCCAGTAAGGAAGAGTTTTACTGGTGACCTTATTTTGTCTGGAATCAACCAGGTACCCACATCCAGTCATATGGATCCATATGGGTAAGTATCTCAACAAGACCAGAAAACCCAGGAAATGCCAACACAGCTGGCCAAACATAAAAAGTCATTTTCTTTTGCTCTCGCTATCCATGGGAGAGGCATTCTCAGACACACTGCAAAACTCTTCAGTGCTCAGTGATGAGCTGGGGCACACGGGGCACTGGCTCTTACCTCTCTCGCTCTGGAAGGCTGGGTGGTGGCCATCAAGCTCGCGAAGGAGGGCATGCACACTTCGGAGGAAGTCGGACTCAACCTCTTGATAAAGGAGAAAACAGGGCGTGAGGAACAAGATAACTCAGCGTCTTCTTGTTATTTGTACTTAACAAACCAAATCCTACCAACAAAGGGGTAATGCTAGTGGTTTGCCATCAGTGCTGCAAGCTCCTTTTTGAGCAAATACATGATAAAGTAGCACAGGAATAATGGCCAGCAGATAAGGGATGAGCTTTTCATGGATCAAAAGGTGCATGCACCCCTGCCTCCTTGTATACAACCAGTTATCACTGATGTTATAACAGCTTTGATGTTAACTCTCCCAAACAAGAGAGTGTAGATAGGCATTGCCTTTGGTTATTACCAGTGAAAAACTTGCTTCCATAATATATAATTCCCATCTGTTACCTCTCAGTAAATGCTCACACAACTGATGAAGGGGGGGGGGAATCCCAGGTGGGACCCTGGCAATGGTAGGGTAGCACAAGCTAATCAGGCCTATGCCTGCCTGTTGGAATAATAAATAATACAGCTTGCCTTGCCTATGAGCTGCTGAAGTTCCCGCTAGGAGGTCTAACATGAAGAGCTTCCATCTGATGAAATGGGCTTATGCTACAATAAATCTGTGCAACTTGAAGCGATCAAGAGCCTCTTTTTGTGTGTTTCTTGCATCAGACTAAAACAGCTGCCCCTCCAAATTTTATTTATCTCTTTCTCTCAGCTGTGTGGTGGGGGAACTGGAGACACTCCACTCTTCTCACCTAAACACCTCATGCTCAGAGAGCAAGCAGAAGCCGATACGGCACTTTGAGATGCTTCTGTGAAGATGAGACTAATGATCATAACAATAACAACAGTAACCTGGGTTATCCATGGTTGGGTGGAAGTCGCAGCAGGTGGTCGTGAGGTTATCTTTTCCAGCACTTCTGGGAGAACTGGGTGGCCAGAGGGTCCAGTTTCACTGAGCATGACCTAGTATCCTCTAGCACTTCTGCAAAAAAAAAAAAAAAAAGAAAAAAAGAAAAAAAAGAAAAGGAAAGGAAAGGAAAAAAAAGATGGTGGTTGAGTGTGCTTGAATTCCCTGTTTAATACCAGGGACCTGACACTGAAATGATAAGTAGCCGTGTTAGTTTGTTGCAGCAAAAACAAAATGTGTTTTGCTATTGTATCCACTTTTGTAGATTACAGCCCACTTATTTCACACTAAGCTTATTTTACCCCAAAATTTGTTGGTGTAAGGTGCACAAGGCTCCATGAAAACAGAGGGAAGGAGACAGTGTGGTTTTCACACTGTAGTTCCAACACTCAGTGTGCACCTCTTGTTCAAGAAGCAACAAGCTACATTATACCACTGGATGGTGTTCTCAGGAAAAGGGATCTAGAAGATGAGTGTTATAAGAAGCTGTGGCCCTCAATATTTTTTGTTTGACTACAACTCCCATAAGCCCTGACCATTACCCATCCTAGCTGGGACTGATGGGAGTTGTAGTCAACAACATCAGGCATGCCACAGGTTCCCCAGTACTGGCACAGAACTTGGAGAACTTTGAAATCGCTGCCATAAATTACTGGTATTGTGCATGCTGGATGAAGGGCATGTGTGGTTGTTAAGGAAGTTGGCCAGACTCTTTCCAGAAGGAGATATATCCTCAGATCAACATATTTGTAACATTTATAGCTCATCTTCACACACCCCACACCCCAAGGCAACATAGGAAATCAATTTCTAGATGATTGGCATCAGGAAACATGCCCAGGACAAGGGCTTGGTCAGAATGTCAATGACTCTGCTAGAAATAAAGAAGGTCCACTTACCGAGAATACTACAACGTCCTTGGCATCAGGCAGCAGCAAGACAGCAATCTCTACAGCCACACCCAGGCTCTCCTGCTGGGATGCTGTCGGATTTCTTTGGAAGCTGCCAATCTCCGTCAAGTGGGAACACGCCCAAGACAAACTTGCTTTACCTGCCTCACAAGTACCAGGCAATACCTGCAAATATTTGAGAGAGAGAGAAAGAAAATCAGAAAAAGGAATGTGTGGGCTCCTCTTTGTCCATAGTTCCCCATCGCCTATGACCACATTTGTTTCACTTGCTGCAGATAAAGCCAGGGGAACAAGGACAGTTCTGTTAGTATTTACAGTTGCCCTGATAACATTATTCTCTTCAAAGTGATTTCCTAAGGCTTGAAAGGAAACTCTTTTCTCTGATTGTACTCCCTGCCAATTATAACACATTCTTCAGCAGCAGCCACAGGCATCCTGCTCAGGTGGGCTGGCCCAATGTTATTTGGTTCACCTGCCTTCTATTTCCTCTGTGTTCCAGCTCCCCTGTATATTCTGCCGAGATTCTTGGTGATATCTCAGGACCACTGGCCCATGCTGTTTAATGCAAAGCCGAGATAGTAAAATGCCTTTATTGCTTGGTCATTGCACAACACTATATTGGGGTGAGCAGGCAGTTGACTGGCGTGTCTGGGTCATTTGCAGTAGACTGGCAAAGATTTCTGGCTCCCAATTATTTAACAATGGCAGCAGCAAAAAGGTGCCTTCTTTGCCCTCTTAAATTAAGACTGCTGAAATTATGAAAGGTTGAGTAAACCAGAGTGGGCTCCCCCCCCCCCCCCGCAAAAGAACTGTGAGCTCATTTTGGTCCTGGAACTAGCTAACTAACTAGAATGTGCTCAGAGGCACCCTGCTTTTTGAAATTCTAATTTTTTTGTCCTTTGCTCCTGGCTCAAGTTAGTACGTTGTGGGATTCTAGTAAAAAAACAACAACAGACTAGCTCCAAAAAGCTGGAAGTTTGTCTATCCCTGCAGTAAATGATGTTCACCTTCTCTGAGCACATGGGCTAGGCTGCCCTGCAGAGATTCCAGCAGTTGTGCTCCAGGACTCACTTCAAAGGGAACCTGAGGAGCAAAACCAGAGACGCGACATTAGTCTCTCCTCCTCAGTAGCAGAACCAGAAGTGTAATCTTTGCAGCCTTTGAAACATGAGTAGAGTCACACCAGTAGTTGTTATGCTAGCCACTGCCCCCTCTTGCATCCAAGTACACATAGGAATGACTCACTTCAGGAACAGGCATAGGAGTAACAACTTCTAGAGCACGGGGATAGTGAGTGTGATGCTCTCCAGATGATGATAGACAACAGCCTGCATCCATCATCCCTGACTATTGGCCACTCTGTCTGGAGCTGATGGGAACTGGAGTCCAACAACATTTGGAGGTCTCACCACTTTGGCTACTCTTGCTCAGGGGTCTGCAACCCGCGGCTCCGGAGCCGCATGTGGCTCTTTTACACCTTTGCCACGGCTCCGGGGCAGATACTAGCGAGAGGAGGAGGCGCATTGTGCGCCCTGACACTCCCCACTGTGGCGGGCACTGTACTGGCTGTGACGTCGCATGGGGGCGGTGCGTGCGTTAGTCACGCACTGTCCCAACGTCACCTTCCCGGTTTTGCGGCTCCCAGTTTTTTTTCTTTCTTCAGAAACGGGTCCAAGTGGCTCTTTTTGTCTTAAAGGTTGCAGACCCCTGCTCTTGTTCTAGAGGGGTTGCTCATATTAATCTGTTGCAGCAAAAACAACAGTGTCTTGGGTCACCTTAAAGACTAACAGATTTATTGTGACATATGATGACATTAGATGGGTCTTCATCAGATGGATGAAGACATAGATAGGCTGTTGGGGTAACACACCACCAAAAAGCTGCCCACCAGGAGATAAAGTTGCATCACAACTCACTCACAAACCCAAACTTTTCTTATCCAGATTTAGAAAAACAGCTCTTTGAAGTGCTTCACCAGATAATTAAACCCTTTAACCCCACCTGCAATTATACAAGCAACTCCAAGTTGTTGTTAAATTGGAATTTCTGAACCAATAGAAAATAGTATTCTTATGGAATTATATCAGACAGACCATAGATCCATCAAGCCCAGTACGGTCAATACTGACTGGAAATGGCCCTCCAGGGTTTCAGACAGGAGTATTTCCACACAAGGGATTGAACCTGGGACTTTTTCCATGTTAATCATTTCATTTTCCACTAAGCCACAGCCTGCCCACCTCCATTTTCCATTCAATTATCCAATTCCATTCAAGAATTCAGTTCATTAAAATTATTACTGGACTACTTGTGCATAATACTGAGTAGGTTTGAAAAATAAAACCTGTTTGCAGAATTGGCCGATCACTTTTGACCATTGATGTATGTTCAAAGCAGTTCTCCCCTATTTGTACTGTCAACACCTACTAGCTTGAAGCTTTCTCTCCCATCAGAGATGGTCAGCATCAGTCATTACTGTAGAGTGACACAGTCATTCATAGAAGCAGCCCCAAGGGGCCGTTGCCACTTTGCCATTTCCGCCGTTCTATTTTTAAGACCCCGTTCAGGCAGAAGTGATTACAGATCGCCTAGCTTCCTCTTCACACCTTCCCTACAGTGACGGCTGAGCTTACAAGAACCCCAACCCACAAGGCTCTCATGCTGTTCAGCTCTGTCACAACAAAGAGTCACGCTAACCTGCCTCAGGTTTTTCATATTCTCCATCAGACCTGAATAGTGCTGTCAAAGAGCAAGCAACGAGGAGAGCATTTCCCAGCATTCACTGAGAACTATATGTGTTGTGAGGGAAGCCATATTGGACCCTATTCTTAGCTAAGCTATTCAGTTCATAGAAAATACTACATTTTGGTTTTTTATATATATATATATATATATATATATATATATATATATATATAGACCTCTGACAATGAAGAATGTTCTAGAAGTCCCTGTGGGCCTCTAGGTGTTGGACTGCAACACCCAGCTTCCCCAACCATTTGGTTGGCTAGAGTTGATGGGAACAGCAGGCCAACAATAATCAGGTTCTTCATCCCCAGTGCCAGATTTATACACAAGTTAAGTAAACTACAGCTTAGGGCCTCAGATCGCGGGGGGGGGGGGCTCTAAATACAAAACTCACACCAATTTAAAGCTTTACATAACTGATCGAAAATAAATGAAATGGGATGTAGACTCTAAAGCAGATTTTATCATTCCAGTATGACAAAAATGTACTTAACCGCCACACAATTATTTGTTGCCCTTTGTTTCTAAATCTGTGCAGCATGAACTACAATATAGTTTTTATATACGCTAAAGTAAGAAATCACAATGTATTTTAATGTAAAGGTATTTCATATACAAATTGTCTTATTGCAAGATATATGTTTCTATTAAATTGTCAGCTGTATGCTTGCCTACGTATGGGAATATATGCAAATATAAAAGCTTCTTATTTATGTTTTCATTATTCTTTCACTTAGAAAAATACACAATTTGGGGTAATGCTGTGGGGTTTCTTAAACTCCACTTTGCTTATGGCCTCAGCACATCTTAATCCAGCCCTGCCCATTACACCACTTACTACAATTGACCTGCTTTTTCGAGACAAACATCTGTGATGCACCACTGTCACAGTAAGAAGAAAAGGGCTCAAGTCATTCTTTTCAGGAGGCACAGAGAAGCCATTTCAGCCGCAGTTAGCTCTCGCACAATTCTTTTAAAGAAAGAACAGCCCACTGAAAAGCAGACATTTCTATTTGCCACGGTCTGCACCTGAACATTGCCACCTGAAGAGTTCAAAGATAAGGAACGCATTGTGAGACCGTAGGAAAGTGATCCCTTGTGTGGGTCAGAACAGAACTTCATTGCAATATACTGTCTTTGTAACATGAGGCTGAAGTTGCTTTTTGCAGTTAAGGTGCATCTCACAAACAAACAAGGCTCATAAGTAAGGGACCATTCCTTGATATAAGGATCGGGTGACAAGCCTATCTGCTACAGTAGACATCCATTACAAAACAAAGGAGTGGAGGAAAATGTAGAGCTTCACTATGGTTAAACAAACCCCTAAGTTAGGCATATTTATTCCTAATAATAATACAGTAGAAGAATAACGAACTTCAACAAAACAAAAATAGGATGTGTGCTCATGAAAGCATAAGGCAACAGGAACTGATTCCCAGCTCTTTCCCTAAAGCTCAGCATATTTCACAGAAATAGATTATGGGAGGGCAAAAAGAAATGAGAGATACCTAAGTTCAAACTGTCAACAGATCTCTATAGCCCTGATACTTTCTGTTGTACAACCAGCTTCTGCTAGCACAACGTTTGCTCTGGATTTCATGCTTGTACCTAGAGCTGCCGCCCTCATAATAAAGCCCCCTGCCATTCCAAATGACAGAAAGTTACTGTTGTATCTTTGTACTGAGATACCTTTGTCCCTGCTAAATTGTCTGAAGGCTTTGCTGTCTTGCTGTGCTAATCAACTGGTTTTCTTAAAAGACCATAGAGATGCTATTGTCGAAAGGTTGGATCCTGCTACATCGCTAGCAGGTTTTATACCAATGACCTGGATTGGGGCTGATTGTAGAAATGCACTGTGGCTGTGGGAGGCTGGCCAGCGACGGATATGAAATGTCAGGAACATCGCCATGCACACAAAAGACATATCCAACCCAAAGGTGCTTACAACCCCACTCCACTCCCCACTCCACCATTTTGATGCTGCTTATCATACGTTGTTTGAATAGGCTTCGCAACAACCCTGTGAGGAAGGCTAGAATTACAACTTCAGAATAAATCCAGGCAAATACATGTCCTTCCAAGTACCCAATGGAATGCATTATGATATAGAGGCATGAAGACAGAGTAGGAAACTCTGTGACAGTCCCCCCCAAATAAAGTAATAATTGTTTTGACAGATAATTGTGGGAGCTTAGCCTTTGCCAACTAACCTGTCATGTCATATATCCTGGTGTGGAAGAGGATGTGGTCTCTATCATCCATGAAACCAAGGCAGGCTGGCCACAGAATGGCTTGCTATGACTATATTACCAGCACCATGTTGGCCTTCACTATGCAGCCAGGAACTTTTAGCAACCTTCGCTGTGCTGATGTATACTTGCAAAATTTCCTTTGTCCTGAGGGAGTGGCTCATGGTTTGTTCCAATACAGTGGTACCTCGGGTTAAGTACTTAATTCGTTCCGGAGGTCTGTTCTTAACCTGAAACTGTTCTTAACCTGAAGCACCACTTTCGCTAATGGGGCCTCCTGCTGCCACTGCGCCGCCGGAGCACGATTTCGATTCTCATACTGAAGCAAAGTTCTTAACCTGAAGCACTATTTCTGGGTTAGTGGAGTCTGTAACCTGAAGTGTATGTAACCTGAAGCGTATGTAACCTGAAGTGTATGTAATCCGAGCTCCACTGTACTCAGTGCAGAAATGTGCATTTTCAGTTAGATTGCGTATGTTAATGTAATTTGCGTTGGAACAATGAGGTTCTAGGAAAGTGCAAATGTGTGGCTTCAGTTATGTTATCCTGCCTCCAGAAACAGATGTAGAAAATACATTGGGGGGGGGGCATTCTCATGTTTCTTATGTTCACTCATTATTATTGCAGTTTGCACATGCAATGAGTAGGTGAGGCCTCACACTCCATGGTGAAGCATTTTTATCTATGTCTGAACCAGAATAGCACAAAATTCTGGAGGTTCAAACTAATTCTTAATGATTGACTGAGAGAGAGAAATGAAAGTAGGCATCTGTTTAGCAGGGGTCAGCAAACTTTTTCAGCAGGGGGCTGGTCCACTGTCACTCAGACCTTGTGTGGGGCCACACTATATTTTGAAAAGGGGGAAAAATGAACAAATTCCTATGCCCCACAAATAACCCAGAGATGCATTTGAAATAAAAGCACACAGTATACTCATGTAAAAACACCAGGCAGGCCCCACAAATAACCCAGAGTTGCATTTTAAATAAAAGGACACATTCTACTTATCTAAAAACACGCTGATTCCCAGACCGTCCGCGGGCCAGATTTAGAAGGCAATTAGGCTGGATCCGGACCCTGGGCCTT